GATGAGAGATCAGCTGTCAAGGTGGTGTGGGGAGGGCTCTGGTGATAGGCGGGAGGGGGCGGAGCGGCTCAAATATTCACCGCTCCTCCCCTGTGCAGAACAAACACCTATATGATCAGTACTGATCGCTCCCTGTTTGTAAACAACTGAGGACATAGTGATTATTATGTCCCCAGTTATGAATGAACAGGAAGTGACTCTACACTTTGGATTTCACATGGAGGAATGTTGGTTAGTCTGGAGGACACGCCATACCAATGGAGCCCGTTCATGGGGTCTGATGGTGCCATCTGCAGCAGATCTGCCCTTTCATGGTGATGGCCAAATTTGACAGATGAAATATTCCGCAGGGGTGCCAACCCTCCATAATGTGCGGGGAAGAGGCGACCGTACAAGAACTAGTGCAGCCGTCATGTGACAGGATTTGTCACTGATATACAAGCAGCACAAAAATATAATCATGGCCTCTCATCTCCTGTAAGATTAAAGCTGAACTCAGTCTTGCACCGTTCTCCTGGACTGAAATGGCTTCCTCTGATTTCACAGATGTGCAATACAAGCTGTAGCAAGCCACACAGAGCCCACCTCATTTCCTGGCTGGGGGACGTACAGCATCATCTAATCCTTTCCTCCCCAGCCTGACAGTCCCTGACCCGCCCCTTTCATACATTTGGTTTCAGTACTTTCAATTGTTGTGGCTCAGCATCTTTAGGGTGGCCTTCATGTAAATGCAGCCTGCTTAGGAACGCCCACTCCTCCAGACTGGCATCCACCCATCAAGGCCTCAGAAGGCTGTATAGGGTCTCACCAGGGCTGCGTGCGGAGTCTCACCGGGGCTGCGTGCGGAGTCTCACCGGGGCTGCGTGCGGAGTCTCACCGGGGCTGCGTGCGGAGTCTCACCGGGACACCGGGGCTGCGTGCGGAGTGTCAGCGGGGCTGCGCGCGGAGTGTCACCGGGGCTGCGCGCGGAGTCTCACCGGGGCTGCGCGCGGAGTCTCACCGGGGCTGCGTGCGGAGTCCCACCGGGGCTGCGCGCGGAGTGTCACCGGGGCTGCGCGCGGAGTCTCACCGGGGCTATGTGCGCAGTTCTCAGGAGGCTGTGTGGGGTCTCATGGTTGCGGGTGGCGTTATGGAGGGGATGTGCGGGCTGGTGGAGAGCTATGTTATGTGCAAGCCGGCGCTGTAAACAACCACCATGAGGTCCCCGCAAGGTCCCCTGTAAGAGTGGGACCTTATGGCAGCCGAATGTATTTAAAAATTTAAAGTGCCGGTTGTTTAAACAGCATCTTGTTTAAACAGCAGAACTCTGAGCTCTTCTTTCTTTGCATGTGAACTGATCATGTGTATTGATCTATTGCGACAGGTGTCTGAGAATCAGCACGAGGAGCTGCAGAATGTCAGGAAACACATCCACTCCTGCTTTACCAACATCTCCTGCTTCCTCCTGCCACATCCCGGCCTCACTGTAGCCACCAACCCCAAATTCGATGGAAAACTCAGAGGTGAGTTTATAGAAGGAGTAGGCAAACTCCGGCCCTCCAGCTGTGGTGGAACTACCAATCCCATGAGGCATTGCAAGACTCTGGCAGCCACAGGCATGACTCCCAGAGGCAGATGCATGATGGATTTTGTAGTTTGACCACAGCTGGAGGGCCGGAGTTTGCCTATCATCTCTGGTTTAAAGAAACCTCACAATGGCTTCCATCTGCTTCTCAAGCTGACAATACATGAATGATATACCAGATCGCCCCATGCCAACAAATGCTTTAAAGAGCGTATAGAAGAAAACTGCCCTCCGGCTTCTTAAATTAATGAGAGATACTGTATCATTGTTGAGATCTCCCCTTTAACCCCTATCAAGACAAGATCATTTAGCACCCGAGGCGTAAAGGCCAAATTGTGTCATGTGAAGGGGGGCCCTCCCCTTCTTGAGCCCCTTCTTGCTGAAGCACCAAGGATGCCACCTCATCTGCCTACCGCTTAGCCTGGGCCTTCATTTAACCCCCAGACCCAGTGCATTCAAACTTAGATTTCCAGGCCATATTTAGCAGCTTCAGTCCTTCAGCTTCACTTCCTCCTTGCTGTACTACCGGACCCACAAAGCTGTTCCTCTTTGCCACTCCTCCTGTTGCAGCCTCTCTTATGTCATCACGTGCAATGCAGGACCAGTGGTCCTGTATGGCACATGAGGACGCTGAGGACCCACTTAAACCTGGGAGCATCAATGAGCAGAGACATCATGTGCCATGCAGGTCCTGGCAGTCCTGTATGGCACATGAGGACACTGAGGATTCACCCAATACTGGGAGCGTCAATAAGCGGAGACATCATGTGCAAAGCAGGACCAGTGGTCCTGCATGGTATGTGAGGATGTTGCATGCCCACCTTATAACAGGAGCGTCAATGATCAGAGAAGAGCATCGGCCACCAGGGAAGGAATAAGGTAAAGCTGGCCATACACTGCTCGAACTCCATGCAGACACCTGCTAACCGAATTTCAAGCTATGGATGGCCCTGCCGGCACCACCCAGCTCAACAAAAGTTGCTTTTTCGATCAACTTTTGTTGAGAGATCTAGGTTAAAAATTGTAGGCCAGTCAGCTGCAGTCACTGTTGCGGCGGTCCGACAGCCACAGGCACCAGCTGTTAGATTACATAGCAGGCAGGAAAGATCCTTCCATCTTAGGGTTGCCACTTTTTCTTCAAGTGAAACCCGAACACTCTAGCGACGCGCGGACATTTTTTTGGGAGAATGAGCCTTGGCATGTTCATATGTAAATAGCGCCACCCTTTCATATGTATGTATCACAGTTGAGACTGTACAGTGAAGGCCCAGTAGCCCCTATCTTAATTTTGGTTGCCCCTGTCTGCTTGACATTTTGTGTCCGGGTTCCTGCTGCCATGAAACCCGGACACAGCATTCAAAACCCGGACTGTCCGGGTGAATCCTGGACAGGTGGCAACCCTAGTCCATCTGCGCTCATTAACATGGATGGAGGAATGTGTCATATTTCTTTTGTTCAGCCTGAAGGTTCAGAGGAATGAAACCTACTGTATATGCATGTATGGTGCTTATTGCAACCCCCGTAGACCCCCCCGCAGTGTACCCTGGCAGTGCCTGGGCGTCTACTGCAGGATTCCCAGAGTTCAACTCTAACTTGACTATAACTGATAAACTAATCTGTGAGTTTGATAGCAGATCGGATAACTCGGAACACACATAGGTGCGCATATTGCAGTCGTGAAGTGGTTAAAGGTCCCTCCTCTGACCCTTGCCTTCTGTCTCCGCAATGACAAACACAGGGGGTCTTAACTTCTCCTGCTGTAAAATAAAACAGCAGCGGGAATGAAACCCTCTAGTAATGGCTTGGAGAAGTGGGCGGATCAGGGAACACAAGAGAGGAAGCCTGGGGATGAATAAGAGAAAACCTAAAGAGTATAGTAGAGACATATCAGCATTGTAAGTGTCACATGTGAAGAGCAGACTGAAACAATGCAGACTTGATCATGTATTTACATTAGTTGTGAAGCCAAGTTCAGCCCCTTTCTGTTATCCGCCATTTATAAATGAATGGGGGCTTATCAGAGACTGATTGCTGTGTCCTTCAATGGAATTCCTGCACAGGAAATGAGCAGGAAGTAGCTACTTACTGAAACATTTCTCTTTTTGGGAGCAGAACTATGAGCCTTAACGAGCCTATAGGTATTAGAGACATTTTGCCTGATCAGGGTTCTCATGGGGGGGTTCGTAGACCCCTCCACACCCTGCGTGACGCTCCCTGGCCAGAAGTTGATTAAAGAAGAACTCCAGGAATACTTTTATTAACTCTTGCAGTGGGGCTACCCCTGCACTGCAAGGGTTAAGTGCTCATTTCTGTCTAGGTGCTTACCTACTGTAGGTGACTGTTCTTAGACTGGTCCCTGGAGCCTCTCTCCCATAAATCATCATGTTCTATATACTGTGCATAGACGTGAGGACGCTGAGGAACATTCCACTGCTGCAGGAGGAGACCGGCTTCAGAGACTGGAAAAACAGGAGCCAGCTCAGCAGATTGGGTGAATATAACTTTTTTTTGGCACCTAGACAAAAATGAGCAGTTAACCCTTGCAGTGTGGGGCTAGCCCCACTGCAAGGGTTAAGAGAAGTTCTGCCTGGTGTTCTTATATGCGTTGTGATGCATTACTATTGACTTCTATGGGCCTACCAATGCACTAAATCCCAGAAAGAAATGGATTGCATTGAGGGGAACAGGCACATTTTTAAAATTATGGAAACCCTAAAATGCAACAGTGTAAATGAGCCCATAGAAAGATCATTTTGCGGCCATGTTGTACCACAGATGGCAACCATGAAGGTGTCTCTCCAAGAATTATGGGGAGGAATGTTTCTGGCATTGAGCTGGGCATTGGGGACCTGTGATGTTTGGGCACTGGGGACCTGTGATGTTTGGGCACTGGGAACTTTTGGGCATTGAGCTGGGCATTCGGGACTTGAGAACTTTGGGCATTGAGCTGGGCATTGGGGACCTGGGATCTCTAGGCACTGAGCTGGACATTGGGGACCTGGGATCTTTGGGCACCGAGATGGACATTGGGGACTTGGGATCTTTGGGCACCGAGATGGACATTGGGGACCTGGGATCTTTGGGCACCGAGATGGGCTTTGGGGACCTAGGATCTTTGGGCATTGAGCTGGGCATTGGGGACCTGTGATCTTTTGGCACTGGGGACCTTTGGGCAATGAGCTGGGCATTGGGGACCTGTGAAGATCTACATTCAGGAGAAGTCAGGAGGTCTGCTAAAGCTTAGAACTTTAAATATAACGTTATGCTGTTTTATAAAAATCGAAAATTAGAAAATTAGATTTCTGACGCCTTACCCATAAATGACGAACATCTCGGCCCCTATATTGTGTCACCAATCTCTCCATTCCTCCATACAGAAATCGATGAAGAGTTCATAAGGAACCTGAAAGTCTTTATACCTTGGCTTCTGAGCCCGGAGAACTTGGATGTTAAAGAAATCAATGGGAATAAGATAACGTGCCGCGGCCTGGTGGAGTATTTCAAGGTAACGGATAAAGTGTGGCTCCAGCCCTTTCCAATGCAGATGGGTTATAGCGTGGGGTGAAGAGCAATGCCAGGCAATAAGTACAACCAAACAACTACCAATACTGTAAAAGTGGACCTTCCTTCCTTAGAGATCAACAGCTAAATACACAATAGTAATACATACACATAACCTGGAGTTCTAATTCTGCTAATCCGGGAACATATACACAAGAGGCGCTAAGATCTGCAGTTATTAACATCCTGCATTGTAAACCATTAGTCAAGCTGTGGGAGGACTCCCCCTCTTGTTAGGGGTTCTTTGCTATATGGGAGGTGAGGCTCAGGGGTGTAAATACAGCTCATGGGGGGCCATGATGTGATGGAGAACTCCCCTGATGACCTCTCTCTGAGCTGTGACTAATGACACAGAGGTCCCAAAGACTCCTCTTGTGCATCTGACATCAGCATTCCTGCACTGTAGTGTAGACTTTACATGGGATTAGGGCTGTCATCAACTACAACCCCGTAATGATACAGTACTGTGTTATCTTCATATGTTCTATTTTTAATTTACCTCAAGAACCTAATGGGCCCCCTTCCACCCCAAGGCCCCACAGCATCCATCTGGGCTGCTATGGCTATAGTTACACCACTGGGGTGGCTACTCACATTTATCAAAGACCCCCCCAAAGCGAACGGGGAGGTCCTATAAGAAATCCAGTAGATTTCAGTAAGAGATTCTGAGAGAAAGAGAAGAGAAATGTCAGCAAGATAAGACAGCCGACACATTTTGAGGATTCATATACTTCCCCTTCATCGGGGCTTATGTGTTGTCACTTCAGGAATGAAATGCCTTGACTCAAAAGAGTTAAAAGCATAGTATGAAATGTTTGCATCAGCAAGCAATGCAGCGTGAAGCGCCACGAAATGTGTTGGATTTCTTATCGCGTTGAATTTTCATAAATACTTTACTAAAACCGATCTCTGTAGCAGAGTGCCAGATAGCCCAACAGCGGGTTTAATCTTTTTCCTTTCTATTAAAAACTACAGGTTTTGGCTGGTCATACACTTTTTAAGCCCAATTCTGAGCTCATCCTCTCAGCCCCAACCTCTCCATCTCCACCCCCCAGAAGGAGAATGAATGTAAGGGAGGATGAATCTGATCCCGCGTCCCCCCCCCCGTGTCACCTGGACAATGTCAGGCCGTGGAGGGAGTTGGCTGCTTCTCCCTACGATCATATGGTTGTTGTTAGCGCAGCTTTATATTACATTCACTGATGTGGAAAAGAACCTTCTGTATTCACATTGACATGCCAAGCAAGCAACACCCGCCCAGACTTTATCCAGAATCCACAGGGACTCCCGGCCTGCAGCTCACTGTAATCAAGACAATATGTTCATTTCATTTATATCCTTCTGACGGATCAAGAAAAAGGGAAAAAAATCTTCCTTTGTATACTAAACGAGGCCTTCCGGACATACCTAGAGATATTTATGGCAACCATATGAAGGGAAAAATGTTCATGGCTAAAAGTAGAACTGACGCCAAAACTTTTTTTTATATAACCCCCGTCAGCTTTTTCTTTTGTGTCCCATCTGGGGAGATTTCCCTTTACTTCCTGTCTGATCGCCACAACAGGAAGTAAGGAGAAATTCCTGGTGGTCAGCAGGGTCACCAGAACTAGTGTCCCCGTTGAAAGATTTCTCATCTTTCCCTGTTTTTGCACGGGCTTCCCCCTTTTCTGGGATAAGGGTCTGGTATGGATTTTGGAGTGGCCACATGTCATTTTTTGACATTTTAGACTGGGGTGCCTCACTGAAAAAAAGGGCTAGATGCTGATAGTAAGTCATTCTCTGTATTACAGCCCCCCCTTAGACTGAACGAGCATTATATCCTGCATATACCTGGAATGTTGAGAGAGTCACAAGTATAACGTAAGGCCAGTAAATCTTAATTTCACAGCACAAACATTAAAAGAAATCCAATGTGTTTTGGGGGCTCAATACTCCCCCTTCATCAGGGCTTAGAAGCTGCTAGTAAATAGGGAGAATACTGGACAATAGACCGGTGACCCGAATGAGCACAATTCTATCCTTTATTTCACAATCTATTGTCCAGTTCTCCCTGTTTACAAGCAGCGTCTAAGCTCTGATGAAGTGGGAGTATGGAGCACCTGAAATGCGTTGGTTTTTTTAAAATGACTTTCTGTGGTGTGAAATCACAATTTATTGGCCTTACATTATACATGTGGCACTCTCACTCTCTCGACATTCCAAGCATATGCAGGATATAATGCTCGTCCAGTCTGGGGGGGTCTCTAAAACAGATAATCTCTTACCAAACTCCATGGGGTTTCCCCCTGGGCAGTTCTGGTAGCGACGACTGATCCCTGAAGCCACGCCTCCTCTCTTTTTGGGTTGCCGCCCTTCTTCCTGACGTCATCTTGTACAATGCAAAACTTTCCAACTAACGTGTCTGAGCTCCATTGCGTTTGGTATTAGTAGTAAGATGTTACATCGCTATAACAGTACTGCTTCTTCCCCCAACAGGCCTACATCAAGATTTATCAGGGGGAGGAGTTACCGCACCCAAAATCAATGTTACAGGTAAATGAGTTTGGTTTCACCAATTATTTTAAGGTGATTTAACCCTTTTCGCTGCCAGAGCCGTTTTTGCATTTTTTTGTTGTTGTAATTAGAGATGCACCAATACCGATATTAGTATCGGTACCGATATTGAATATCTGGGCGAGTATTCGTACTCGCCAAAATGCTCCGATGCCTAGCCCGATACACAAACTTCCGATATCAGGAAGACGGACAGCGAGTCATTACACGCTGCCCGGGCTTCCTGATTGGCCGGGAGCCGGCTTCCTGGCCAATCAGGAAGCCTGGATAGCGTGTAATTGGTTGGTCGGGAAGATGGCCAACGAGGAAGCTGGATGGTGAATCATTACCCGCCTCCGGGCTTCCTGACGACGAGAGAGCATAGAGTCAGCTTCCCGGCCAATCAGGAAGCCGGGCGCAGTGCAATGACTCGCTGCCCGGCTTCCTGATTGGTCAGGAAGATGGCCAACGAGGAAGCTGGATGGCGAGTCATTACCCGCCTCCCGGCTTCCTGATGACGAGGGAGCATAGAGGCGGCTTCCCGGCCAATCAGGAAGCCGTGCGCCGTGTAATGACTCCCCCCCCCGGCTTCCCGATTGGCCAGAAAGCCTCGTCACCTGGTGACAAGGATGCATGGAGACAGCTTCCCTGCTATTTAGGAAGCCAGCCTGGTTTCCTTAATGGGACTTCCGATATTGGTATTTGGTATCGGTGAGTACCGGAAAAACCGTTATTGGTGCATCCCTAGTTGCAATCCACATTTTAGGCCTGAGAACTACCTAACTCCACAAACCCTGTAGAATAAAATGGTGCCAGTTGCAAATGTTTACGTCGCGTGATAATGGCGCAGTCAAACCCAAAATTTCAGTGAAAAATACACTTAGTTTTCACTTGTACTTTTTCGTACACTTAGCACAATATGATACCCAATTGTATTATAAAATGTAAAAGATGGAGGTTGTGCCGAGTAAAAAGATATTCAGCATACCAAGCTTACAAATTGCGTCTGCCTGTGAAATGGTGAATAAATACAGCACGCCAAATCGTCCACAGGCGTCAGTTTCAAAGCCTGTACAGGCCATCAGTTTAGAGAAAACTATGAATATTGGCCCCCCAGAATTATCGCGCTCACTCTGGCGCGGCAATACCTAACATGGGTGGTGTAATCATCATTTTTGTTTGTAGGTGCACCCAATGCGTGTTTGCATCAATACATGCGTGTATGTGGGGATGGGGGACTTTAAACATTTTTTTACCCATTTTTACATTTATTTTAGGGTTAGGGTCCCAACCAATCAGCATCGAGCCAGCCGAACAAAATGGAGGTGGCTTCCCGGGCATTCAGGCAGCCAGACGGCATGTCATTACATGCCGCCTGGCTTCCTGATTGCCTAGGAAGCCGTCTCCATGCCAGAGGAAGCACCGGTATCTGTACTCGATACCAAACAAACGGTATCCATGCATCCCTAATATCAACTCAATTGAATTTCTATAACCCCAAACTACTGATAAGTTGAATCCAGTGCCTCCGATATACATGTTCCAGCAAAAAAAAAAGAAAACCTGACACAGATTCTATTCCTTTCCTACTCAGCAAGATTTTTATCTGGAGTTGGCCTTTAATAGATATCTCAATAATCAGCCTGTATTTAGTTTAATAACCCCGTATTCATGTTTGTCTTCTCATCAGGCTACAGCAGAAGCTAACAACCTAGCAGCCGTGGCCACCGCAAAAGACTTGTATAATAAGAAAATGGAAGAGGTAAGAATTATGAAGACATCACTGAATCCATTTTGATGACGTCATCTCAAGTTGTGTACTGGCCTGTGTAGTCACCAGATTGTATCATTGGCATTGTGCTCAACCTATTTCAAATTACAGCAACACAAACATACCATAAGTGCCACTCTGCGATATAAAACTGAACAAAGTTACCTACAAAGGGTGATTTTTTTATCATTTTCAGCAGCTCGGTCCAACTCAGTCCCTGGCATGAACTGTTTTATGCTACAAAAGGCATTGATGTGCTTGCAGTACTGATGAATCGCTGTAAGCAGTGGCGTCGCAAGGGGGTTTCTGGGGTTTGCGGCCCGCACCGGGTGACACTGTCAGAGGGGTTGACACCGTCACAGGGGGTGACACCAAAATGACTCACAGAGATTTTGGTGTCACCCCCTCTGGAAAGTTAGGCACTCAGTCATAGACCAAGTACCCGACAGTTGTACGAGAGAGGAGGGGACCTGGCGGCATACCTTATCCTGCCGGCGTCGCAAGGGGGGTTCTGGGGTTTGCGGCCTGCACCGGGTGACACCAAAATGACTCAGAGATTTTGGTGTCACCCCCCTCTGAAAAGTTGGGCACTTGGTCATAGACCAAGTACCCGAGAGAGGAGGAGACCTGGCGGCATACCTTATCCTGCAGGATGAATGTCCCCTTCATCTCTCGGTGATGGACGCCGGCAGTTAAGTGCATGTGACGTCATTATGTGCGTGATGACGTTGCGAGCGGAAGACATTATGTCACAGGCGTGCATGGTGACATCCCAGCAGGTGACACCCTGCCTGGGGACGCCTCTGGCTGTAGAATGGGAATTATTACCATTAGTGGGGTGTATCTGCTGTCAGATTCTCTCTAATGAAGGTTGGAGAAAGGTTTCCCTTCTTGAGTTCTCCCATTTATGGGATTATCCAGTACAGAGCTCCAGGATACGCAGGTTAGCATGGCCCCTCAGTACTGATTGCATTGCTAAGGGCCCTCCAGCACCCGGGAGCACCTAAATTAATACTGGCTTAGTCAATGACCCAATGCTTTTGTTAGAGTTTTTTCCTTGCTCTGCTTGATCTGCCCACCCAACTAAGGGACACATTTCAGAGCCTATACTGCCTATTGAGATTCCGGCATTTGACAGCTGAATGACAGCAGGTAAAAGTTAGCACCGGAGTAATTAAAAGAAAAATTAATTACGTCAAAACTTTTAGAACAAGTAGGATAAAAACAACAGAAATAGATAGAAAGTCACAGTCTCAGAAAATAAAAAGAAGACATATGAAGATAAAAAGGTCAATAACAATTGAGCTTCCAACCGCACCCTCCGCATTCCAAAAAATCCTTGACCGGGTTCCCAACCCCCGCTTTAATACACAGGGCTGACAAGATTCCAACAAGCTACCTTAATGGACTGGGAGCTTTATAAATATGCTGGAGGACTGACTATAACAATAGCTTCTAGAGGATCCCAATCCAGAGGAAGCAAGCCCACAATGTTAGAATTGAGAGGTTATCACAGCACATTAAGGGAAGAGGGTAATCCAAGAAAAAGTCTGACATTTAGCAGGCCTACGCAGGAGCAACACAGAAGAGAAGGAAAAGAAATAGAAAGAAAGAACAGAAGGCAGATTCTACAGGGAAAGCATTGGAGACTGGAGGTGCAGAGAGAGCAAGAAAAGAAAGGAAAAAAAGGGTGGAGGAGGTTGGAGAGGTGTGCCAATGGGCAATCGTGGCAGACTGGAGTGGCCTGATCTGAGCTGTTGTAACAATGTTACCAATGCCATTCATGCTTCATACAGAGCTCTAAATTCCGGAGTAAAGAGGAATTCCTTCCAATAAAATCATCTCCTACAAAACTGATCCTCCCTCAGTTTTGTAAGACATGGAAAACTTGAGAGTGGGTGAGGGTGTGCCTCACCCGCTCTCAAGTCTTCCATAGTTTTAATTTCTTCCACCTTCCTCAGCTACAACCGAACAGAAGGAGGTGTTGACTGCTTCCAATATAGGGAAATGCAAGCTTTAGCTGCATTAAGGTGTATAAGAAATGATTTCTTGTATTGTTTTATGGAGGGGGGGGCCAGGTAGAGGAGGTATTTCACAGGATCAGTTTCCAATTGGACCCCAGTAAGGTCATCGATGTTACACACCTTACCCCAGAATCCCTTCAACTTCGGGCAGCTCTAGAATATATGGAGTAAAGAGCCTTTCTGTTCCAAACATCTCCAACAGAGGGGTGAGCACTGTGGATAGATTTTACGAAGTAGCTTTGAAATCCTGTACCATCGGGATCAAATCTTAAAGCCTGTTTTTTGAAGATTGCTCGACATGAACACTTGATGGGTAAGATGCATCATGCTACTAATTGTTGGCCAGTGAAGGTAACTCCCAGTTCATTTTCCCAGGCAACTATAGAAGCCTTGGGCAAGTCAGGCGAACGAGATAGTAAATGCTAGGAGAGAGTCCATGGCGGATCAGAGATGTAATAGGGCAAAGGTCTTAGAAGACAGTCAGCTGAGCAATCTCACGTATACCCCTAAACTAATGGGTCAGGAAATGCCTTAACGGCATAGTGCTCAATAAGGGTAAGGCAGGATTCGTCATAGACTGAATTGCTGTGATTTCACAGTTCTCTGCGACCAGAAGTGGATAGACAACAGATCCGACTTCAACAGAGGTCTAAAAACAGCCTCCTGCAAACCCGGAGAAAAGTTTGGGCTCCCTACAACTGGAATCAAACCTGAAGAGCAGAAATCACTAAATAGGTGAGAGCTTTCCTGAGGGATGGCTCTTAACGTGGGTCCGATCAAGGGATACTGTTTAATATGTTGGGGAGTGTCCTGTCTCAAGCACAGAAGACACCGAAGTGGCACTTCCCTCACTGCCTGCTCTATCTGAACCCACCTTTTCCCATCTGTATGACTGCACCATTCCCATATCCTAGTCAGGTGGACCGCTCTGTGATATATTTATTGGGTTTGGGAAGACCCCCCCTGTCTTCCTTGGGTCGCATCAGTAGGGTATGCTTATGCATCCACAGCAACTGAGAAAATTCCCATCTCAGTTGTTTCAGGAACCACGATGGATTCCCGTTTGGAAGGACCTGAAGCAGATATAACAAGCGTGGTAAAACGTTGATTTTAAGAATAATATTATGCTCAAACAAGAAAAAATGGTAGACAACCACTTTGAGATGAAGCCTGGGAAATCTGCAGCAAAGACATCCTATAGTGTAGTAGTGAGGTCAATTCCCAAGTATTTAACTTTGGTTTGAGTCCAATGAAATGGGAAGTGAGACTTCAAATGTTCCAGTTCGTGAAAAGGCATAGAAATATTGAGCGCTTCAGACTTCTGCCAGTTATTTTGAAGTTGGAAAGTTGACTATAGGTATTAAATGGCGAGATTAAGTTGGGAAATGATGCGATTGGGTTAGCGATAAAAAAATGTATTAGATCTTCTGCGTAAACCGCAATCTTATGGGTCAACTTGCCCACAGTTATTCCCGTAATATTGGGGTTAGCCCTAATATGGCAGAGCAGAGGCTTGAGTATGAGAATGAAAATCAATAGGGAAAGCGGGCAGCCCTGCCACGTGACATTACCCAAAGGAAAATAATCCAAGACTGCTTCATTAATCCGGACACGAGCTGTAGGCGTTAAATAGATTGCTGAAATCCAGTTGTCAAAACCTGAACCAATACCCAGGTGATATAGAGTTGCCATCATAAAACACCAGTCTACCCTATCAAAGGCCTTTTCGGTGTCAGTAGAAACAAGAATGGAATGTAGATGTTGAAGCCTGGACAGATGCATAGCATTTAAAGGCCCTTGTTGTGTTGTAATCTTGACTTAGAGAAAAGTTGAGGCTCGGTGAACAGTCTGGGATCCAAAGGGCTCCCTAGGGACACAGTGATTGGTTTGAGGACTAACATAGGTAGTTGAAGGCATCACATCTCACCATCAGACGTACTTGAAGGCACCAGGTTCTACACCATGCCTACGCTTTACCTTTGTTGTTACCTTAGACAATTTTAGGCCACATCAGGCCTATGAATGTGGTAGCCCATAGCAAGCAATCAAATTTAAGTCAGTTCAGCTAAAAGGCAAATTCTAATTGGTTGCAATGCGTAATTGCACTGTGTCCATCTTGATGGATGGATGAAGAACTGGCTCCCTGGTATTAAGTTCCCTAGTGGCCATGATTTTAATGCAAATGTTAACGCGTGCCACTTGTGAGGCGGGACTTATCACCAGGGTTGAAGGGGTTGTGTTGGTAATGTTGCCGCAGGTGGCATGAAATTTTGCAAACCTCGACATTCTTTTCCTTTCCCCATATCCCGCTAGCCTTGATTGGCCTTTGGGTAAAATGTTTACATGTTACTCGTATGCAGCACTAACCCAAAAATGCTTTTTTCCCCCCTTGTGCAAACCAGGTATGCGGAGGAGACAGGCCCTTCTTAGCGCCCACTGACCTGCAGCATAAACACCAGGAGTTAAAGGACGACTCCATCAAACTGTTCCGCAGCGTGAAGAAAATGGGGGGCGAGGAGTTCAGCCGAAGATACCTGCAGCAGCTGGAGAATGAAATCGATGAGCTTTACGTCCAATACATCAAGCACAATGACAGCAAAAACATATTCCACGCGGCCCGCACCCCTGCCACCCTCTTTGTGGTCATATTCATCACCTACGTGCTGGCCGCCATAACTGGCTTCATTGGCTTGGACATTATAGCCAGCTTGTGTAACATGATCATGGGACTGACCCTCATCACATTGTGCACATGGGCCTATATCAGATACTCTGGAGAATACCGGGAACTTGGAGCGGTTATAGACCAGGTGGCAGCCGCCTTATGGGACCAGGTAAAGTACACTAAGTGCCGTACAGTGCCTGTGTGTCTTATACTGAAGCCAGTGTGGGCAGTGCATGGCAACTGGAGAAAAATAAACTAAGCCAAGATATCAAGTATTTGAAATCTTAAAAGGGGTTGTCCACCCAAAACCAATATTTCGGGTCACTGGTGTGCTGAATCAGCCCCAGGTGTCTTGGGAACTCCAGTGCCAAGGTCTCTAGTTACCAATTGTGCCCCTAATATTTCAATTATGGTCAGAGTCTGCTAGGCTGAGCCAACCTACTGGATAAGCCATTTAGCTTACTCATGTTTTGGGCAGGGCTGCTCCTGGCTGATCTTTTATTTTAGGTATATCTATAGCCACAACATTTTATTCAGCCTTGAATAGAAGAGGAAATGTCTCCCACTAGGGAGAGTTTCCTTTACTTCTTGTCCCAGAAACACAACAGGAAGTGAGAGGAAATCTATTCCAAAACATGTCTGTGGAACAGATGTACGCATTGAGCAATTTTCCCTCATTTCCTGTTCCACAGTGGTAGGTGTTCACATACTCTACAGAAAGACTAACAGGGTTATTCACAAAAGGGTGAAGAGTTTGGAGAAGGCCGGAGAAGTGAACAATCTAGGACAACATAGCTGAACTGGAAAGTGAGCTGAATTGGAGAATTTTTCCCAAATCAGCTGTTTTCCTAGATTGTTCTCTTCTCCTGCCTTCTCCAAACTCTTCACCCTTTTGTGAATAACCCTGTTAGTCTTTCTGTAGAGTATGTGAACACCTACCACTGTCTTCACCCTTTTGTGAATAACCTTGTTATACTTTACAAAGTCTTTGGATGGTTTAACTCTCCAGCATAATCAGTATTAACCCAGAATATTACCATACTGCTGTGTTTTGGCTTTTCAAAGGATTGATCAATTTGAATCTGGTGTTGAAAAATAGATACTAACCCGATCTTTCTTCTTCTTTTGAACTGTTTCTGACAAAGGGGAGCACCAATGAGGTAGGTGTTTTATCTCCATCACATTGCACACAAAAATAAAATACAACTCGCACAAGTATACAATAACACAGAACTGGCGATTGTTCATAACTTGCATACTACTAAGAAATGATCCTTGAATGCGTAACTGTGTGCACCAGGGAAGTATGTGGCACTTGTGTGCAACAAAAGGTATCAGGTACTGAATGTGATAGAAAATAGAGATGCATGAGGCACTGCATGTAATACAGAGGTATTAGGCACTGCGTGTAAAAGAGAAGCATGCAATAGAAATATGTGGCACTTAGTCTAATAGTACAAGTCTGAGTGTTGTTTAGAAGTATGAGACACTGTGTGTAATAGTGAGAAATGCATTGCATATACAAAGGTGTGTGTCACTGCATATAATACATGGGTATGATGCCCTGTGTCTAATATAGATGTATAAAGCTGTGTGTAATACAAAAGTATGAGGCACTACATACTGTAGAGAGGTAACACAAAGGCGTTAGGCATTGTGTGTAATAGAATGCTAGGAGTCAGTGTGTGTAAGAGAGAGGTATGAGGCACTACATGCTATAGAGGGGGATAAAGCACTATGATTAACATATAGGTATTAGGCATTGTATGGAATAGAATGCTAGGAGTCACTGTGTGTAAGAGAGAGGTATGAGGCACTACATGCTATAGAGGGGGATAACACACTATGAGTAACATATAGGTATTAGGCATTGTGTGTAATAGAATGCTAGGAGTCAGTGTGTGTAAGAGAGAGGTATGAGGCACTACATGTTATAGAGAGGGATAAAGCACTATGAGTAACAGATAGGTATTGGGCATTGTATGGAATAGAATGCTCCCTTGCCTGCCCTGTAGAGATGCTGGGAGACAGTATGTGATGTCACTCCGGTCCAGGCACCTCTATAGGACATGTGAGGGAGCTGTAAGCAATGCATGTATGGATGGAGCTCCCTCACGGCCAGAGCTCCAGCCCACCCCACCTCGAGCTGATACTCGGCACCAAGTAGCACATGAATGGCTGCTTGGTGTGAGAACTGACAGTACTACGCTATGGGGAGGCTGAGAAGCCTCTCACCTAGAAAAGTGGAAGGCATACGGGACCTAATGAACACGGTGTCGCGACCCACTTTTGGGTCACGACCTACCAGTTGAGAACCAAGGCTCTATAGGACACAGCAAAATGTATCTAGTGAACCATAGAAAACAAAGGGAAGACTCTGATAGGCCATTCTTGTGACTCCCTGCTTTGTGCTTCGTCCGTAGGCTCTGTACAAGCTCTACAGTGCTGCCGCCACCCACAGACACTTATATCACCACGCCTTCCCGACTCCACAACACGGGGCGGCTGAAGAACACAACAAGAACATCTAGCCATGTTGACGTTCAGCAGCCTGTACCTTACAGGCCTGGAGGACATTGGCAATTCTCACCGACAAAAGCTGCATGAACTTCAGTGTCCACTGACTCGTAAAAACGTCACAAGAGGTCAAGGTCCTATCGTTCAGAGAAGGCTCGGGCCTGCTGGTAAGGAGCCTGGCCCGTCTGCCATTTTGTTCAGGGCCTGCTCCCAGGGTAAATCAAGAGACGGAACCGACAGGCAACCAGGAAAGTAAACATACAACGGCTTTAGCGAATTTACTTTTAAACCGACGTATAATAATATACTAACGCGTCATGTCATTTATTCTGGAAGAGATGTTCCTCCCCTCTCCTCACATAGCTCATGTTATCTTTCACAGAGCACAAAATGGACGATGTCCCACAATGCATCCTGTCTGCATCACCCGACGTGCAAAAACATTGACCAGTGCTCTCTTCACTATTGCAAGCTTTATTGCTGCCTGTACACTCTTTATTTATCATATTGTATATTTTTGTTGTTAATGCAGATCCTGGTAATAAATATTGTTTCACAAAGTTTTACAAAAGAATGCGAAAAAGGATTTTGGGGAATATTTTAATGACACTGTTGGCAAGTCGCTTGGGTTAAAGCCCTTATTGACACTGTAATCGGCCCGCATGTAAAGCTCTGTGCTGCGTGCAGGGCCGTACCAAGCAGCTCCCGGGAAGGACAGGTGCTGCGTGTGATTAGTACGCAGATAGTCCATGGTCCCATCGCACTCCTGGCCGCGTAAATCCCTACAAGAATTGGGTGCTGCTGTAGTCAACGTGTGGCAGCCGTAACAATCGTGAGCTGAAGCAGAGACACCGGCACTCCAAATTTGCTAAATACGTCTATTTATTGATGTGCATCGTGGTAAAAAACAACAAACGTTTCGGGGTCACAAAGGATGCCCTTCATCAGGTAACACATACAGTGAAGGGGATCCTTTGTGACCCCGAAACGTTTGTTGTTTTTTACCACGATGCACGTCAATAAATAGATGTATTTAGCAGATTTGGAGTGCCGGTGTCTCTGATTAGTACGCAGCCCCCGTCCTTCTCTATAGGACTACGTGGCCGTACGTCCCCCTACGCTCAGCCGCCCTGCACGTCCGTACGGGTGAGCGTATTCGTATGCTGACAGGTTGGATCCTGCCTGCGTCCAAACCAGAAAACACGCACCCCTACGGACCTGCACTTGAGGTGAGCGTAGGGGGGCGTACGGCTGTGTAGTCCCATAGAGAAGGATGGGGGCTGTGTACTAATCACAGGCAGCACCTGTCCTTCCCGGGAGCTGCCCGATACGGCCGTGCACGCAGCACGGAGCTGTACGTGTCGGCCGATTACAGTGTGAATGACGGCTAAAATGTGCTGCAGTTGAATGATGCTTTTTTTTTTTAGACCTCCCAAATATGCATACACACACACACACACACACACACACACACACTAGGGTAATAGTTTATGCAAGGGGTAGACAACCTCAGCACTCCTACATTTCCCATCATGTCTCTGCGAGTCATGCACGGGGTTGTCAGTTTTGCAATGCCTCATGGGACTTGTAGTTTCACAACAGCTGGAGTGCCGAGGTTGCCTATCCCTGGTTTATGTACTAACCCAGAACTGCCAGTCAGTCATTGTAGCCGACAGCTAAACTCCACACAATCGTTTAAATATACAGACGATATATACAATTCTGACTTCCATCCAGTCCTGAGATTTACTAAACTCTGCTACACAAAACAACCAGACCGATGTCACCATTGTCACGGTTATAGTTATACACTGATCTCCTTCCCAAAAGGTACCATCGGTGATGTCATCCAGCCAGTACAAGAGCAGTGTGGGACAGATAAGGGACAACCGTACAGCAACGCGGGAGGCTGTCATAATCCCACCCACACCACGCTACTGCATTATAAAGCAGTGTGTTGCATTATGGGTGTCTCAATTAAAAGACAACATGAAGGTACTTGAAGTGGATTAAAACTCCAAATTTAAATACACAACATGCATTGCAAACACCAATACCAATGTACCTGCTGATCAACGGCGGAGAGTTTTGTATAGACGGTGGTGAGTATCTACCTTGTTTTTAGAATACACAACTGGAAATATTTTTGGCAATCCTAATAGAAGGTGACTAAGTTTTCTCTTGCTCGTTTTCTGGTGTGTCCCTGCGATCAAACCCCACCTCCTGCAGGGGTGTCGCCAGCAGGTAAGCGGCCGCTGTGGAGGAACCCATGTGTGCATATTCCCAGCCATTCCCGCAATGGCTGTGTACGTCCATTAGACACACACAGCCCTGTGGCAGGCCACGGCCCTCCTCTCCACCCAACAGGTTGACGGCTGAAGGAGCCTATGGCTTCTCTGCCCTCAATCTCCTCCCCCGCAACCAGGAAGTTTGGGATGGAGAATCGCTGTGGGGGAGGGGAGACAAATTCCAAAGAGGTTCCCACCGCACTCCATACTGGTATGTCCCTTTTAAAGTGGGTGCTGCAGTGATAGTAGATGGCGCCACTTTAGCAAAGTATACCACCGGCACACCAAAGTAAAACCTTCAATGAGTGGCCATTGTATTGATGTACACACATCTCATCACAAAGCAATGTTTCGGGGCCACTCAGCGTTCCTTCATGGAGTGGTCATACCTGATAAAGGGACCCCGAGTGGCCCCAAAATGTTGCTTTGTGACGAGATGTGTGTGTGAAAAGTCCAACTTGTTGAGCCTTATCTAAAAGGTGCCCACACACCTTGCGATTATCGTGGGGAAATCCCGCGATCCTACGATAATCGCAAGGTGTGCGGAAGGCGTGTGCGACCGTTTCTACTGTACGGTCGCACGACTTTTGTCTTACGAACAAGTTAGAAAACCAGCCGAGAATCGTGCGATTTTTGGCTGGTTTGTAGCATGATTGTAAGATAATTGCTGCACGGACCGGTGTACGCACGCTGCCCGTTCAGCTTTGCGGTCATCGGGGCGGGCTAGCGATTATCGCAAGTACGATCTGCCCGTCCAAGATGGGCAGATCTTACGTTTTTTAATAACCTTACAACCATCGCAAGACAAAAGTCTTGAGATGGTTGTAAGGTGTGTGGCCAGCATAACTTGGTATAAAGAAGCTCTGCACGAAGAATCGATTTTTCTGCTAGAAAAACACACAAAATAAGATTCACATTGATAATGTTACTAATGAAATGAATGGATTAGGAATTGCAGAAGAACTCATTTGTATTTTAGTGAACTTTAATAGTCACATTATCACAAGGATCTCATTACGAACAGATAAGCGTAGATAAAAAAAAATGACACAAAACTTTCTATTATGTGGCTATCCAACATTTGATATAAAACAAAACAAAAAAAAGCTGCATAGTAATTATTGCATTAGAGTACACACTACGTCTCGGTCACATGATGGTATAATAAATAGGATATGGATGATGTATATTGGGGGGGGGG